ACACACTTACAGTACCATGCGATACACAGACACTGTTAGCCAGTTTGCCATTGTGATTGCCTGACTAGCATTGTGTGAATTGTCCATAATTCTTGTGAATTGTCGACTGTAGAAATTTTTGCATAGATTAAGATATATACATGTACATGTATGTTTACATCACTTTTTGAGACAATTTTTGGAAGCTTTCGTCCACATTTATGCTATTACATCAGCACAAAAAACTTACCCCCCAAAAATTTTCTGGCCTACATGTACCAACCCTACATGTATTAAGAGACAAGTAATCGGAAGCAGAACATTTTTTGTTTTGGCACAAGCCTAACCACCTAGGCCCTTTGGCTAGGATATACCCTCCACCCTTCAAAATCCTCCAACTGCCTCCTTGTGCGATCCTTTTCATTTTCATTCCCAGATATACATGTAGCATGGCCTGTACATGTGTATACATGTATATGTGAAACACTAAGGGTGAAGGTGGTTTTTCATAAGACTTCGAAGTCAGGCATTCATCATGTTCATAGTGCTCTTACAAATGCAGCTGAGTGCAAGGTGCACTCGATCAGCTTTCACACCGCAGGCATAGAGTACCAGTTGCTTTCACCACTGGATTCTGAATCCAAGACCACAAGGACAGCAGTGTGGCTGCACGGCATGACACAGACTACCATTTACATGTATGCGCTGTACATGTACATACCGTAATATCTACCATGACTACATGTACACATAGGTACCGAACTTAAACCAATGTAACCACGTAAAATTACATTCTGCTTCTGCTTGCCAATAAAAAATGTTTCTTGAAAGACCTTAACAGATTAAATGATACATTTTGGCCATTCATGTATATCTGTAATGATTACGTTTTGTTACCAATGTGAAGTTAGTTCCTCGTTTGATGTTCGAAATTCAATGTTGAACAAGTAAGCGTTTGATATTTCCAACACTGAATAAGTAAGAATAAGTTTGACATTTGGCGACCACTCAGGATGCACATCCCTAAAATTGATGGAGTGCAAAAGAACTAAAAATAAACTGCGCCACCTACCGTACATGTACACGCACATTTCAAGGTTTGTATATTACATGCGCTGTAATTTAATTGACATAGTTTTAATGAAAACAGCAGATACATGTATACATGTGACTGTTTTCATATCAAATAATTACATGTACATGTATATTGCCATTAACTCTAACAGACCTGAACACTACAAAGTACAACTTAGTAGTAAAATGTAGTATTCAGTGCTGTCGCTTGTCAGGGGACATTACCTTATTGTTCTATGAAGCCATAAAATACAATCGATAAGACAATGTACCATACAGTGCTGTGGCACTATGAATGCATGGCTTTATTGTTCTCTGTACGAGTAATCATGGAAGGAACCTAGCCAGAAGCAGTAATCTGCAGCGCTGGGTACTTCAGGCTCCGACTATTTTGTAGCACTGAGTAGTGTAAGCCAAACAATATGCATGACAGTTAGGGTTAAAAAACATCACCTACATGTACATTTCAGGGCTTGTTTGAGCCCGAAAACCCCATGTACCGGGTTGCAATGAGGTGTTGCTAATTGAGAACAATGAGATCTGATTCAACGTAATATGCATTCGGGGCATGGGATTTGAGTATTTTATTTTCATTTGAGAAATGTGTGGTGTGGCTTGGTGTATATTACATGTACATGTACTTTGAGTGAAATACATGTGTTTTCCATGACAACAGCAATACACAGTAACTACACGTAGGCCTAACCATTTTTTCCTCTAATAATTATACTGCTGTAAAAAACTGTCACTTGTACGTACATTTGAGGGCTTGTTCAACTCGGAAAAACCCTTGCAATGTATGTTACAATGCACGCTTTGTGTGACGCACATCCTTCTGTGTTGGAAAAACAAAACCTACTGTACAGATGGCATGGTTTTACAAACCAGGAAATGTTTACGGGACCGGGCAAACTACCAACCACCAACTGACCAATACTTCTCAGCATTTGTCTTTTACATGACTGTCCCAAATTGTTATCATATGTGGGCTAGCTGGATAATTTCCAGATATTTCTGGATGAAAATCTTTCCATGAAAGTTATTTTTCGAGGCACCAGGGACCTTGGACTGTTTCTGTTTGGAGAACCGGTCAATCAGAATGATCAACTACACTGTAGGCTACATGTACATGTCAGCATGTAGTTTGCCAGGTTGGTTTGAGCCAAAATGCCAATGCCATCCCAAAGAAAGTGACTGGCATGACTGGCATCCAGTCTCACGCGGACAGAAAAGTATTGGCCTACATCATGATGCATCATGATTATCAGTGGTTATACCAAACATAGAGCTCTTGCTATATATGCACCAACCAATTACAGACTGTGTTCAAATTTATCAACACAATTAACAGATTAATCACTTTCATTTATCATGTTAATGATTTAGAACACTGTCAGACTACATGTACACGTATAGGCCTATGTTCAGCAGCTGTTTACTGCATGTTCAGGCCAAGTTGTTAAAAAATTAAAAACAAACAGGCCCTAATCATAAGGCTAATGCTCACTTCCACCGGTAATACAACACTTTACCCAGTTTTCAGCTAACCGCAATCCTGTCCGACACGGACCGCACTGGAATAGTTTCGAATGCCAAGGTTTTGATAAATTGTTCAAAAACTTTGATGACTCAATGACTCAGTACTCTGGAATTGGTGAGTTCATCGTGTGTAAGCGCCTATGCTATATGCATGGATGCACGACATTATGCATTGTAGGGACGCCCTTCGCTGGTCCTCTGCTCAAAACTTTTGAATTTTAATGTGGGTGTTACAGCTGGCAATGTAACCAGCGACGCTAAAACGGCGCCCGCACGGCCGGTTCGTAAAAAAGCACGGTAGTTCATCCGGGAGCTTTCAAAAGGTGCATTTAGTCTGGCGCCATGAAATATTTTGTGTATACAACAACAGGTGCGATAAGTCTAGTGTGGACAACAAGTAGGCAAATTGAAAGAAAGCACATGGGCCTTTGTAACAATTTTGTTTTTATTGCAGTGAATTGTGTCAGAAATTTCAAAAGGTACATAAGCTTAAAGTTGTTTACTGGAAACAATATGATTGGTCACTTTGTCCTTGATCCGTAATTGTGTCACGGCACCAGTCTGTCTCAAATTTCAATTTGGCATGCTAGGCCTGGTCCTGTCATGCCTGTCTACAATAGTTCCGAGGACATCACCTGGGCCTACCGCCAGAACTGTGGGGTCCGATATGACGTCCGCTCCTCTCCCATGAACCCAACAGAAAAAGAGCCTTTTTCGCCGTTGGCTCTGCATGACATTTGGGCACTAACAGGGATTCCATTCTAGTTGTGTACCCATCATGCCCATAGAAATGCTGGTTCATTTCCCCCAAGATTTTTAATAGCTTACATAGGCCCTACCTTTGTTTTGATACCAAGAAAGAAAAGGTCCAAAACCATGCTGTTTGCAAAAAATAGGTGCAAAAAATAGAGTCATGCGGTTCACGTGTACTTGCGAAGATGAGCCGTGACCAAATGAAATGGATGACTATGGCTGCGATCAATACACAAGACATGGAGAAGAGGGAGAGGAGTGGACGTTGGACCCCACCACAGTTCTGGGGGTAACCTGGACATGCATGATGCAGTCAGAAGTTAAAGTAAAAAATGCTAAAAACAGTTCTGACTGATTTTCAAGTTACAGTGTAGGTGATTACTAGGCCTGAAGGGCCCTTTGGCTTTGTATATCGACAAGGGTATATAAACTAACAAAGAGCTATTTACAGTTGGTTTACATGATTTACGAGTCTAGCCTAGAAATGCTAGATGATTACAAGTACTGTAGTTTCTAACTTCAAGCGTTGCTAGATTTTGGCTTCATTCCTGGCCGCCAAGGCCTACATATACTTTCTTTTGTAGTGAAAATTGACAGATTTGCACACTTCACTTTCACACTTGTGGTGAAACTTCATTCCACATGTACATGTACATGTATCTTGTTTATTGTCGTGAACTGAACCCTTGAATTTGCGAGATTGTCATGGTTGTGTCAGCATGTGAAATTTTTAAAAGCTCTGGTTGATATTTACAAAAGTGATTTTTTCCCCCTTTTTTCAAAACTCTCTAGGTCTCACCATTCTTTACGTGTTATGAGCAGTTGACATAAAGTAATTGAATCTTCAAGATTTAAATGTGCAGTGTGAATTAAGAGCCAAGGGAATGACAGAGGAGTAGTGTGGCTTAACAATGGCAGGCCGACATAGCAAGCTCCAACGCCAAGTATTACAGCTGTACAAGCAGTTCCTGCGTCTGGCTGAGCAAAAACCAGGACTGGCGCCCCATGTACAGCAGGAGTTCCGCAAGTGGGCGACGCTAGAGCGCACCGACATCATGCGCATTGAACACCTGCTACGGAGGGGGTGGAGACAACTTGCCATGCTGCAGATGGGAGGGGTTGACCGGGCAGGAAGTTTTATCAAGGACAAGAGTCCCACATCAAGTACACCATCAAGGAACAGATGATGCATGTACATGGAGCCTCTCAGAAACACAGTCATGACAGTTTCCAGGAAGGGCATGCCCACCTTTAATTTAAAAAAATCGAAGTCTTGGGTCGGAATTTCTTTTTCTGTTGGCAGCTCAGCGGTTGAGTTTTCTTTCACCGCAGACTTGTTTTAAGGCACTTGTTCAAGACGGCAACACCAGTCATGCTGGGATTACAATAAACTGCTTTCACTGTCCTTGTGGGAGAAAACATTCTACGTGTACCTCATTTTGATGAGGAGAGTTTAAGTAGAGCAAAGAAGTGACATACATGTATGCATATGTTTCGTTGTTAATTCGTGCAATTAAATACATGCACCACTACCAGCACTTGGCAATGCAACAAGATATTTCACTCTACAAACTTTATGTACATGGAATTAAGACATGTTTTAAAAAGTTTATTGAAGACTGATTGCATTTAAAATAAAAATTAGAAGGTACATGTACATGTATTTGTGATGTTTGGGGCTGATCAGGAGGTCATTCGTAAATTATTGATAATGTTGGTTAGAATATCCTTGTTTTTATATTTCACAGCATTCAGATGTCACATGTTATAGTTCATGAGAAAATTTGGAATACGGACGTAACACATGTCCATGTGCTGCCATTCCGTTTCACCGAATGTTCTTTACCATTAATACCAATATTTACACACACACTGTTGGAAGTTTAGAAGTCATTTCAAGAAGTGTGGAACATTCTTAACATACCAAATGTGTAAAAAAAGTGAGTTTTATAAAATCTACGAACTACATACATGTACAAATAAAAGCAGTTTGGTATTAGTTGAATTTTTGTGTGTGATTACATTAACCTTAGAGGTAAATGTACGCTTATGTAAAATCATTCATACTGTACATGTACGTATGGTCAGATCCCCTGCAGTGACTCTTACGGACAGTAATCGTCAGTAATTTGGGGTGCGTTCGCACGTTTACTCCTGTTCACCCGAGTAGGATGCGTGTGAATTACACTCGGGTACAGGAGTATACTCTCACTTACCCTTGAGTCGTACTCCAGCTGTTCGGGCGCCCAGGAGTATACTCGTGTCAACGCGAGTAGCTCACTCGAATGCACCCTTGAGTTTGCATTTTAAAGAGCAAACTGAGCTCCATAATTTTATGTTCAAGTATTACCAATTTCAGTATCCTAATGAAGATGGTTAAAACACCGTTAAGGGTTCCATTGATTCACACATTTAGAGGCCTACTGTACATGCATAGCCCAAAAGTAGCTCTGCCAACTTCCACTTGGTTTGCTAGCTTAGATCATGTACTTGTAAATCGTGTCAAGTGTGTGTGTTTCAACATGAAGAATGAAGCCGAGCATTGAACCAAAGCACAGAATGCAGCAGTGGACGAATTGTATTTCCATGCAGTATTACTTTATTCAGGAAATTGTCTAAAATGTAAAAAAGACAAGAAAAATGTAGGGGTGCAGGTACAGTATAGGGTTTAATAATAAGTGGAAAGAGTTAGGGAGAGTTTGAAATACGTACGTTCACCACAACTCCTTTTGAAAAGGAACATTAAGATAATGTACTATAAATGAATTTATTTTAAAAAATTCAATAATTGTAAATTCATGGAATTTCTGATCCTCTTAGGAAGCATAAAAAGTCCAATCTAAATTGATAGAAAATCAATTGACAAAATAGAAAAGTAAATTGAAAGATTCCCATCACTGCCTTATCATACTGTAGCATGGTTGCTAGGACAAGTCAAATCAGCTTGTTCCAACCAGAACCTTGTTATAAATAGAACAGAAATATAAAGCTACTTGAAAGAAGTCAAGAGACTTGTGACTGCAGTATTTCTTCTTCAGAACAGTATTTTGTTCCGAGTACTCTCTAAATTGAGAGTTGACTGGATTCTGAAGAATATTAATACAATACTCAATTATTTAGTACAAATGAAGATTACAAATAAATTCCAAGTAAAATGATATTGACTCTCCAATGGACAAGCATATTCAGGCTAATTGTTGAAGGGTCTACGGCATTAATTTTCAGTTCTTCGAAACAGACTTTATTGAAAGTGTACTTTTTCAGAAATTGAACATGTCCATGCTTTCTTTTTCTGCTGGATGAGGGTGCTGTTGCGATGTTGTTCCAGGACATTTTGTGGAGGGGGGTCCTTTTTATATTGTGAGCCTAAAATTCACTCATTGAAGACGATTATTGAAAAACTTTGCACATTGGCCTACTGTTGTGCTAAAACAGCAAATCACCCAAGTCTGAAACCCAAAATCTGGCAATCTTATCTGCTTAAATAGCTCTGTGGCTTCTGTCTCAACGACAACACAAATTAGGATTTCATAAAAATATACAAGGCGCCCCAAATGCCCCGGAAGCCAACAAAGCATAAACTGGATTAAAGGTGACATGGGATAAAAAGGTCAATTCGCAAGTACTGCCATTTAAAACATTGCATGGGCCTGGAATGAAAGTGTGAATTCCCATAAGAAGTTCCTTCATGATTGTTAAAGTTAGCCCCTGCAGGTCCCCCTCCCCACAGAGAAATTCGCTTCTCTTCCTACATACTTTCATCGCTAACACTGTAGGTTGCATTTTTAGAACCCAGCACTGTAGATTTACACATGTCTCCTTCCACCTCTTTGCCCAAGATATCCCAGTGAGTGAGAATACATTCATAAACATGAAATACATTGTATATCGTCAAAAAAACAAAAGAACAGCATGTACAGTACCACACACTATAGCCCATGGGAAAAGTGTCAACCTTTACCACAACTACTACTACATGTAAATAACTATTAATACACATGTACTGTACATGTATTCAGTGTCCAGAAACACTGTTTTGTTGTCTGGTTAGGGACAGTCAGAAAGTCAAAAAGTAGTTCCTCTTATATGTTAACCCATTTTTCGATAACATGAAATCAATGCGGAAAAAAGTTTGAATTCTGAAAAAATATATGCAAACTTGATAAATACCTCAATTTGAAAATTGCCTAATTTTTTTTCCTCAAGGAATGCCTGCCTCGGTGGGGAATATGGTGTACACAAACTTTCAATGAAGTACGCAACTGCAGGTGGACACAGCGGCAGCGATTTGCTCAGCACTCTGAGGATCTATTCTTTGCACGGCATCATGCCACACAGTCCACAACACCAGATCCACCATCAAGTCCATAATTTTTATCGTCAGAGGTAATTAACTCACAAGTTATTTTTCTGCAAAGTTGACGTCAGTTGGTGAAGAGCTGGACTCGGCCTCTTGTCTTCTTGCTGGCCAGGTCACCCTTCCTAGGCAACAAGGCAGGGTCTGAGGAGCATTTGGGTCCCCTCCTCGAGTTTAAGCTTCTCTTTTCTGTCGGTGACTGCAGATGCCTTGGGGTGTTCCTCTGGGGCTTCGTGTTGAGGGATTTTGTGACTTCTTTGCGGAAGACTGGGGATGGTGAGGCATCACTTATGGGAGAACAGTGTTTGCTGACTGATGTTGACTTCGGCTGCAGGGAACGGTAGATTCTGGGCAGTTTTGGACTGGGGCTTGACGGTAACGAGGACAACAGTGAACATAATGGTGATGCAGATTCAGCAGAGGATGGTTTGGTTTGCTTTTCAAAGCAAGAACGCGTCAGCATCTCAAGATGGGGTGACATCAAGACGGCAGGTCTTGATGTCACCCCATCTTGAGATGCTGACGTCAGTGTACAAGAAGAGCTTGAGTCAAGGCCTGACCGGGACCCATCATCTGAGTTTGTTGGCTGCATGTCATAATTTCCCGCTGCCCCCAATTCTGTTGGTGTTATTGGAGGTTTTCCTCTAGGTGACTGTCTAAATGGTGTGACTTTGGGTGAATTTGGCATGTAAATCCTTGTTTTGTATCTGGCACCAGCAGATCCATTATTCCGGGTCTGTGGAGTTGAACTATGCATTCCACCAGTCAGAGTTCCAAGATCAGTTGTGCTAGAGTTGCCACTACTTGGAGAAGGTATGGAAGGAAGGGATTCCAGAGATGGACTGTTTGGGGGTCTTTTAGTCTGTGACCGGAGTAACCATGGGCGTTGAGGTAAGTCTCTTGTTGGTGTGAGTGACCCCTGCAAGTCAGACATCTTTGGAGATTCTTCACAACACTGTTCATCAACAGCACTCCCTGAGATGCAATCTTTATCTGCTTTTGGTGAGTCGATGTCAACTGTGCTCGAGGGCTCAGGTTTGGGAGAGTTTGATGCGTAAATCCTCGTTGTGTTCTGTGTTGCGAGTGGAAAATCGTTCTCTGATACAAGAGGCGAAACCGGTCTCGTGGGAATATCAGTTCTTGGCCTCTTCAAAGGTCTGCTAAGCTCCTTCCGGAGTTTGAACAGGTTGGCACAAACTTTGGAGGGGATTTTGAGACTGTAACTTGTTCTCAATGACCTCAGAGCCTCGTCGAAGTTCTCTGTATCTCCTTTGGACTGATACTTTCCAGGGCAGGACCTGGGTCCTGACGTGTCGCAAAGCTCTGGGCTGTTTGTCCTACCTCTGCCACTAAACGTCAACAATGGTTTGACGGGGGCTGGCTTGACAGGTGGCGTTCCGGGCATTGGGTTAAAAATGCTTGTTTGCTGTGGTGGATTGTGGTTCAAGTCCACTTCAGGGTTTGGATGTGAAGATGGACCGTCGCTGACACCGCTCTGTGGACTCTGACTAGTGGCACTGGTGTCAGGGCAACCACTCTCAGGATTCACCGTGTCTTGCTCGCTAGAGCTCTGTGAACTGCTGCTCACAGAGGTCATGGGGCTCACACTCCTGGTTCCTGGACACTCGTTCATAGGGCTACTGGGGCCACTGTTAGTCTCGCTCAGACTAAAAGAGGTAGATATGAAAAGTACATCATCACTGGCATCAACTTCCATCGAGGAATCATCTTCGCTCTCCTCGGACAAGATATGATTGCTCATATCTATGTCAATTGCATGTGTATTAGATGGTGAGTTCTCCTGTGACTGTGCCAAAGGACATGGCTGAGTGTCTTTATCTACTGTGTCACAGTGTTGCTTTTCCTCTGTCAAATTAACAAAGGCCAGCTCATTGGTATTCATCAGCATCGTGACTGCTTCTTCAGGAGGTGGCTCTTCCTGTTTCAAGCTAGAGTCCTGCGAGATGCCACTGTCTGGAGATGGCTCAGTTGATGAAGTCACCCTTGCGCTTGAGGGTTCTTCTGTCGCCAAGTCTCCACCTGTTTCCTCGGCTGGGGGTTTGGATATTGTCTCATCGCGTGTGACATTCGCTTCTGTGGCTCCTTTGAGGATGGGATCCCTCTCCGGCGCAACCCCCTTGTCTGGCTCATTGGCCACTGAAGATCCAAGTCTTTCCATTTCTAATTGTGCTTCTCCCTTGCCTAACTCAGAAACCTGCGCATTTTTTATCTGATCCCTGAGGTACTTCCTCCTTAACAGCTTCCCTGTTGAATGCCTCGCTTCTTTAACTTTGGAATTCCTACATGTATCTTGGGCTGAGCAGGTCTCACTGCCGAGCAGATTCCTGTACCTTTTGGTCTCGGTCTGGTTTCCTGCCACTGCAACAGCCTCTGACTGCAGAAAAAATGATCCATTTTCACATCCAGTGCTATTTACAATAACGTCCCTATCGCTGAGATTCCCACGTGAAGAGCCCTCCGATGTTGCAGGCTCCCCAGCAACACTTTCTATCTCCTGGCTGGGGATAGCTCCTGTTTCTAAAGCTGGTCCTAGTCTTGTACATTTTGAAGTAAATTTACCTCTTCTCCTCAAACGCATTCCAGATGGAAGCGTCACTTCACGCTCACTGTCTGCATTCTTAGTGGCAAGATTGGTGACTGCTGACTTTTTATGACGCTTCTGGGCAACCTTTGAACTAACAGCCTTTTTGAAAGTCGGAACATTTCCTTTGCGTTTTGGTTTTTTGTATAATGTCAAAAATCTACCAGTTCCAATGACTGGGTAAGTTAAGGAGTCCTTGGAACACTTCCTCCTTTTCTTGATTGTTGGCAAGTTTTCTGCCACCTGCCCCCCTAATGGTTGATCAGCCGGACACACAGCACCACCTGTTTCTTGGCTAGTGGCATTTCCATTCACTACCTGGTCAAAAGCTGAAGGTGAGGATTCAAAGGGTTTACAGTTGGATTCCTGAGCACTGTCTGAGCAGGCTTCACCACTTAACTCAACTGAGTCCTGCTTCTGTGTTGGTGTGGATGCCCTCTGCATGGACTGCAAATATTGAGAGATTGAAACCTCCTTGTGTTGGAGCAAGGGTTCAGGATGTAGTTCTAGCTCTCTGATGTCCTCACTCTTTGAGCCGCATGGAGACAGATGAGGACTGCTTTCATGTACACAGGCTTCGCTCAATTCCCCAGATGCCTGAGACATGGTGCTGATGGATTCGTCTTCTACCAAGTCCACAATACACTGGGTACTATTGTCCTCCTTGTAATGAAGTAATATGCTTGCTGGCGGGGGGAGCATACACGTATCCTCCGAGATGGCACCTTCAATTAGTAACTCTTCTGTATTCTCAGCTGTGCTTGGACAAAGTCTTGGTGGATCAGGGAGCGAGGTTGGCCCACTGGGGTCAAACATTTGAGGTGAATTAGCAGAGCACTCAGGAGAACCAGGTGATGGGCAGGTTGTCTTGTCATCAGTTGAAACGAGAACCTCACTTGGGCCGTCCGTCTCTAGATGGTATTTTTCATCAGTTCCGGCAGCATTTTCGGTCTTGGCTGGAAATGCACATTCACAATCCATATCGCTGGAAAGACAGATAACACTGGCTGAGCTCTCAAGGTTTCCAGGAGACTCTGGAAAGTGACACTCGGCAAGGGCTTCGCTCATGGCAAGTCTTGTGGTGTCAGACACTGCAGTCTCCTCAGCCAATTCTGGCCTTTGACAATCCAGCGTAGATGGTGGTGGTGTGCACGTACCTGGAAGGCCGGTTGATGGTTCTCCATCACTGCCTCCCTCACAAATCTTGACGCATTCTTGGAGCATGCTCATGAGTATGGCTGTATTGCCTTCTCCAGATTCGCTCCGAGGCACTTCAGGAAGTGCCTCCTTAACAGCTTGACTGGCCAGCCTTGCTGCCAAACACGACAGCGGCTCTTCATCTACGGGATGTGTACATGTAGCTGAGGCATTTGGTGATTTTTTCCTTAAACTGAATGGGTCCCGGTTTTCTTGACCGACAACATCAGAACTTGGAGTGAATGCTAGTGTGGGAGAGTTGGTTAGTGTTACAGACCCGTTTGCATCTTGTGATGTGTCACAATGACTTGGTGTGTGGTTGTTAGTTGGGTTTTTATTTAAAGATCCATTCTCAGCAATGGGCCCCGGGGAAAAGGACATGGACTCTTCATAACAGTGATGCAACATACTAAAATCTTTAGCTACATCCATCTCTGACACCTTCTCCTTGCGAATATCTTGCTCAGCTGAGACTTTTGAAAAGTCATTTTCCATCTGGTATGTGACTGCTGGGCTGGGTGTTGGCAATGATCTGGTTTTGCTGGTTTTGCAGATTTCATCAGAAGCATTTCCAGGGGTTTGTTTAATGGCTTGGCCTGTTGTTGTCTCTCCTGGTGTATTCAGGGTTGAACATCGTAAGAGGGTAATATTTCTGGGGCGCATGCTCATGCGTAGAGTGGTCCGTGGTCCATATTTCAGTCCTGCCGATGGGCTCATCTTGTGACTCAGGAGGTCGGAAGATTGTGTTTTCCAAGTGTGGTGCTTCTTGAAGCCCAGATTTTGGGGAGAGTGTAGAGAGTGGTATCGCTTGTTCTCTTTGCTGCCGCACGATGACTTCTTCCTCTTCTTCCCCTTCTTGTGTTTCTCCTCCCCCTCCTCCACACCTTGCTTGGATGTCGACGGCTGGCAGCAGTCACACCAGCCGGCCAGCTCAGGGGAGCCCTGGACCGAGCAGCAGAAATCCCGACCGGTGTTCTCCTCGGGGGAGTGCGGGAGCTTCAGGGAGCAGAACAGCGAGTGGGTGACCTTCTTGCGGAAGGTCTGGGAGGAGAGGGGTGTGCGGGGATGCTTGCCCATCAGCTTCATGGCCGTCCGGGTGGTCTGCCCAGTCTTGGTAGGGGAATCTGCCGGCGAGCTGGGCAACTTCTGAGGGGAGGCTGCTGAGGGACAGCTGACTTCAGTGGCTGTTAATAGAGAAAGGGAGAGTATTCCAATTTTAATTTTTGTGCTGAGAAAACTCAGCTAGTTTTTAGTTTCTTAACCAACCCGAACCTTTCCAAGTGACAATGCCACCAAACACATATCTGCTAATACTGACAAGCCAGAGATCGGAACACAGTACAGGAACATGCACACACAATAATATATGTATAAGTGTAAATCCTCCCATTTTGACATAGCACCCTCGTTATTCTGCAAATAGCACCCTCCTTCTGTTCTGCAATAGTGCCCTCTTTTGCCAAGAGTTCATTTTTTTTTCTTTTATGGAAATCTGAACATTCCTATTTTTTGCAGTCTAAGAACTTTGAAAAATTTGGAAGGTTCCGATGAAATCCGAGCGGTTGGCAGGTATGCATACCTTTTCACAGATCCAAATGCAGATTTCACTTTCAAAGAGTTCTCTAAGACTAAAATCCTAATCACCTATAAATTTAACCAGCATAACAGTTGTCATTTTCCTAATGAGGTGCATTCTTTTGCAACTAGAATGTTCTTGAAAAGCCAGGACAAGAATTGTGTGTGAAATCATCAGCCCAACATTTCACAACCGACAAAAACAACTCTCTTACATCTTATTTGATTACCTACATGAACTTGGACAACTACTTATTAAATTAATTGTTCGTTACAGTCCAACAATTTCAACTTATAAAAATTAATTCATAAGTACCACAGACAGTCTCCCTGTTCAACAACATGCATTAGTCTGCCAAATTTGTCCGAATACAAGCCATTTAACTGTGAACTATAAAGTTCCCTTTTTACATGTACTGGACACATAGTCTTCTTTGTATAATTTTAGCTCCATCTCCAACTGCAGTCTGTGTCACAAGAACTAACCGAAAAGTTTTAGGATGACCCAACAGGCAACTCAACTAGATCTGTAGATGACAAGATTTAGTTAATACCCACCATTACTCATCATGGCATTGCACATGGCACACGCCCAGTCCTGATTGATATGTTTCAGTCCTCCACAAGCCAGATGGCATCCAGATGACCCGCAGATATCGCACAACACGAGCTCCCACTTACTGCAGAGCAACAAGTGACAAAAACAAACCCTAAACACTTACTAGATACCATTTGCCACTGATGGTGCTGTATAAGACATTCAACACTGTTCACATATCAAACAACTACAGCACTGGAGCCAGAAAGGATAACCTCAATGTTCAAAATGAACATCAATGCACAATATGCCGCAGGAAGCACTTTTCCAGTCAAATGGATGACAACTCATCAATAGACTCATTTCTTGCCAACTGTCTTTTGGAAATTCTACAGAAAACTGGGGTGTACTTGTGACATCAAAGCAATAACTAAGTTTCTACTGGAAACATCCTTGGTGACGCCAGCCTATGAGGTGTACTCCCTCTTGAGTGCAAGCTACCTACCTTGAAGTTTTATTGAACTGCCGTCCTTGTGGGCACTTGCAGGGGTCCATGTCACATCTGTCGTGACGCCAGTACAACTCCTGAAAAGCATTGTCCTCCATCTCCCAGGATGCATCACTTGAAAAGGACAAAACATGAAGAAAAGTGGACGAGAATGAGCCAGTTCTTCATTCCATGCAGGTTAGGTCACTTTGGAACAAAGAAGCTGATGCCACGCCAACTCAAATGTACACATTGCCAGTAGTGAAAAAAAGGGTCGCTGGCCAAAGACCAAGCAAACAACGATCATACACATTTTCATCACAGACCCCCCCCAAATGGCATTGAACTGGTTCTGGAAAACAACTGAGCTACAATTGCAGCTTTTAATCATTTCAAACATTTGCTAACAAAAGGAACAACTGAAATGTAAGCACCCTGAACTTGTCTTTACCAGGCAAAAGTAACTTCAGCAAGACAACACCCTTTCCCCAAACACAGAGTCAAATTAAAGATGACATCATCTAACGACGGGACTTCCCCCTTCCCCATATGAACCCTCTTTACTTTTTTTCAAACCATCTCGGACTTATCAACTCACTGCTCAGGGATGTAGATCCCAAAATTCTTCATCTCCAGCTGAAACTTCTCCTGGTTGTTGCAGATGGCACAGCGGAAGAAATAGCCAGCACTCAGGGCTTGTTGCTATGAGAATAGCACCCAACAGAAGATATTAAAACCTCCTCAATTTTTACCCACCTTGAAAGACATGCATAGCATTGTTCATTTTTTAAAAGGAGTTTACAAAAAGCCGAGGAACACAAGGACAAGCAAACAGGTTACTGCATGTCTAATGTCTACGCCACTGAAGATTGGCACTCTGGTTTCTTTTCATATGAAATGTAAATGTCTTTTAATTTGAAATATTGATGACGACATATAAATCAGCGTTAGTGTACTGGGGGCACAGTCATGACAGTGGGCTTTCATGGCTTTCAGTATGTACATGTACAGCAAGCAAAACAAAATAATTATTAATTATTGCGTATTAGTGTCCTGACGAGAAAATTATTCAATATCTGTACAAAAATTATTATTAACTACTAAAAATTAATTATTAATTATTGCGTATTAGTGTCCTGACGAGAAAATTATTCAATCTCTTTACAAAAAAGCCAAACAAAATGTGAGCTGTTCCCCAAAATGTGAGGAAAGTATTCTTCACTACAGGATTCCTTTAACAAGGGAAATTTCTGAAAGCACCCACGCCGTGTCACATGACTTCTTGAGTATTCAAAATCTGCTGTCTACTGGCATCGACACGACACCAGTACTACTGTAGAATGTTCTTCTGTATCATTTTAAAAGCACAAAATTGGGATTCATTGAGCTCTCGAGCACAGCACACACACAAGTTATTTGTTCAGCAATGGCGAGAGTCCGGCCAGAGCCTGAATGTCAAAGAAAATTATTCCTGCTTCGTGAAAAGAAAAACAAGTGAAAAAGAGCTTACAACACCACAAACTTTGGCTGATGGGGGCTACAGCACAGACACACTGATAAAAACAATGCTACACTACATCCTGCCCTTCACAAATAAATTTCAGGTTCGCAAGTCTTTGTTTTCTTTGCTTTTAAATACTAATACAAGGTCCGTTTTAATCACGCCACTTGTAAAGTTAAAATGACGTTTTTAATGCGTTCGACTTGTTAATGTCAATGTACATGTATGTGCTGGCAGGTTGCAGGGCCCAATTTCACTGGCATGTTCAGACTAAAAATGCCTTTTTATGGCAAATTTGTGTGCTAACGAAAACCTGCTGTGAACTAGTCATTGGAAATACAAGGTGTGTGAGGCATTCTGGTTGGTAACTTGTTTCCATTAAGTAGAAACTCCCTGCACTTAGCATATTTCCCTACTCTGTGAAATTGGCTCCTGCAGGGTCCCACATGCGTACCTGGACGCAGGTGCGGTGGAACCAGGTGTTGGTGCAGCAGGGAGTCTTCAGCACGTGGTTGGAGACCCTGGCCTCGAGGTCCTCAAAGCAGATGGGGCAGGTGACGGTGGCTGGATCGGACTTGGAGGTCTTAACATCCTGCTGGGGGCGATGATCCTTGCAAAACACCCTGCGAGGTGGTGGGAGAGGAGAAATGGGACAAGTTAGTCGCACCTTCATTGGCATGACCGTGGAGATGTTAGACAAGCCCTGGGGTGAATTTTGAATCTGTCGCACACTTTGAGACTACTGACTTTGTTGTGTTGAAACAACAGTGGCAGTGCTTGGTTCAACTGTGCAAAAAATGTGCAAACGTGAAGTTAAGAATCTTGCAAACAACCAACCCTTCTTCCACACGCGCCACATGTTCCATTCTGCCATTACAACAACAACAACACCCCTTGCTGATCAAGAGATTCATAGAATAATTCCTATACCATGCAACTATCATGACTATAGAATTTCAAGGAAATGAAGTTTGACATGCTGAAAGCAACAGTTGACGAGATCTTGATGTACATGTTAGGTTAAAGGCTGGTTAAAGGCCACTTTAGTGTTTATTGGTCGAATTTCACCCTCCAAATCACTCATAAAAAGCACAAGAAAAAACAGATTGTTGTCCCTGATAAGCAAAGATTCTTTAGTGTTTTCAACAATTGAAATGCTGGCTTCCAAAACTGCCATAAATCGCAAAAGAGGGGGCCCAAATTGCTAATGGTTTATGCTTTCCAAACATTTGCATTTTAATATGGTGGGTCTAAACTGGCCCGTGCATGTGCAGTGTATTTGCTACACTGTCTTTTATACTGCAGCACAATGTGTTTGTGAACAACCATGAAGTTGCATATCCCCTGACAAAAGGTGGCAGCAGGACATGGTAACTTTACGCATAACCACAGAAGTGAAACCAAGTATTTGGCCAGTTTCATCTGGATATCAGGTTTCCCAGGCAAAATTTTCTGTGAAATATTCCTCGAGGGGGTAACTTACAGGAAAGAATCAAAGAAGCAAAACATGGCCTCATTCTTGAACCCGCAATTGAAATGAAAGCCTCGCTTGCATATCGAGAGGGAGCAACCAATGGTGGCCGTCTTCTTGGAACAATAGAAACATCTCTGAAAAGAGAACAACATCAAACTGTCTGGGAGAAGAAATACACACTGACATGTAACTGTTATCACAAACCCGGAATGAATCTTAAATGCCAAAATAGCATTCAAGCGTGTGTTGCAATCTGTTAGGACCAACACAAGATCTTACAAGACCTTCGGAAGACCAACATAAGACCTCCAGTCTGAATGCAAGACCCAAGCTATTCAAATGAACTGTAACAAAAGCATTCCTTTGCCATGGTTCATCTTGTCACTTCCAACAGGTCTTCTGAATGGTCTGGCGATGTTAGGGACGACAACGCTGGTTTAAGCATTTGCAGAAAGATGTTTTTGGTCTGAGAGGTTTGCATGGTGAAATTCAACTTCTCTTCAGAATGCCACGCGTCCCTGTTAATCCTGCACCAAGGATATCAATTCAAAATATTACAGGATAAAAATCTCCCAACTGCAGAATTTTGTGTTAAAACTTATTGTGAGAGCAAATAAATTCTGATCCAGCAGATTCCCATGAGAAAAACTTCATAAAATGTACACTTTCAGGAGATTTGCGGGGGAAAGGCTGACATGCTTCGGCTTGATAGCTTTGGTAGCGAAGCAACAGAATTATGGGGCCAACAGAGAGAGTAGAAAGACAACCAGCTTGTCAGGGAATGGGGAGGGAGCCAAAGTGGCTTGATGCGGACAAATATTACACTGAACGTTCTATGAGAGCCAGGAGGGAACAACTGATATGATGAGGGAAAATGCTGACAAAACAGCAAATGGATAGGGAAAGGGAGAAAAGGCCTAGAGATTGGATAAGGGGCAAATGTGTGAGCAAGAGGGGAATAAGTGATTGAATAAGGAGCAAGGGGGAATACATGTAAAAGATTGGATGAGAACAAATGCTTTGAGCAAGGGGGGAACAGGTGATCGGATGAGGGCAAATGCTTTGAGAGCAAGGGGAACAAGTGAATGGGTGAAGAAAAGGGCATTGAGAGCAAGGAGGAAATACATGTAAGTGACTGGATGAGGGCTAATGCTTTGAGAGCAAGGGGGAACAAGTGAGGACAAATGCTTTGAGAGCAAGGGGAACAAGTGATTGGATGAGGAAAAAGGCTTTGCGAGCAAGGAGGGAATACATGTGACTGGCTGAGGGCAAATGCTTTGAGAGCAAGGGGGAACAAGTGGTTAAATGAGAACAAATGCTGTGTAGAGCTGAAAATAGTGTGAGAGCTTTACAAAGAAGCAGGATCCCCATTTGGTCAAGGCACAGGATAATACAAAGAGACATTTTGAAACACATACCAGCCGGCGGCCTCTATTGAGCTCTCGAAGAATGTCAGGCACAAGAAAGCCATCAATCCCTTCGTCATCAGCCCCTGACTGAGACAGACCGCTGGCAAACAACTGAGACAGTCAAGGAAGAACGGGTGTGTGTTACCCTCTCATCTGACAGGGAAACTGAGAGGAGGCATACGGTAGGCACCAAGTGAGTCTCTTTCATGAGCGAGTGAGGATCTGACACGAAGCCGGCCGCTTTCAGAGTTTCGGACAGTACAATCGTTGGAACCTACACGTACACGTATCTTCCCTGCCCCCCGCCTTCAGACTGGCATTGTTCGTCGCCTTCTCACATCATCAGCAGCTCTACACTGATCTTAACCACTCCAGTGGCAGCATCCTATTCACACCCCACTGCTCCGAGATCTTCTACAGAAACCCTAGCTCCGACTTCAAGTCTCCTGACGACAGACAGAGCATACTGTCCAACACTTTGAGTCTACTTTGAGTTCTCCTCAGAACCTCACTCACTCTAAAGAGAATTCACATGGTGCAACCGCAAACCTTTGTCTCATTTCTCAAAATAAACTTCAAAATTGCTAAATGTCATTACATGTAACTTTGTCTTTTCTTTTTACTCATAGAAGTAGAGAATACATAGAGATCCAGAATGTTGGTAATGTTGCACATGTAGCTCATGCCACAAACAGGATTAGAATGAACCAAACATAATTACATTAAACACGTTCAGAGTCCACCATATATTATACAATTACATTTAAACACTTCATTCAGTGATGCCTTGCCGTGAAATAAAAGTTCCTGATTTGCAAAGCCTGTTTGTACACAGGCACATGTACTGACTGCATGCAGAAAACTCTTTAAGACTAACGTCTGTAGCGGAGGCTTTGAATCATTCTTTGGTGGAATACGTCAACAATTGTGGTCAGAATTACCAGACAGTACTTGTGCACGTAGACCTGCCTGTCCTTGTCTGTCAACAGCTTGCCACATTCTGGGCCCCCTTCAGCATCTTGGTTGCAGAAAATGCAGAAAGCTTGGGAGAAAGAAAAAAAAACAGAGTTTTGTCACTGCAGGTACGCTGGCGTTACTTTATCCAATCCTAGCTGGAATAGGAGAGGGTGTCTTTTTACATACATGTACATATAGCAACGACGGTCCTTTCACAGGAACTCGTCATGTCAGTGCACAGATTTCTGCAGTTTCTGTTGGATGGTCCGATCCTTGCTTGTGCACCGGGTGCTTGCATGAGCCCTGCTGAAAAACTGCCCACAAGCTTGTCTCTTCTGTACTGGTGAGGGTGCACCTCAACTTGGGGTAGATACATGTACATTGTACCTACAACAGTTGACAGTGGAGGCTCCTTGAAACTCTAAGGTACATGTACATGTATACCACCCCCTTACAGTACACTTACATGTACATGTACACATGCATGCAAGTGATTTTCCTATTCCAAGCCAATGATAAAAGTGACATTCTGTTTCACATACTGTTCACACAGACATTCACCTGCCTGAAATTTGTTTGGTAGCTGTTTCTAGCAACTCAAAGTTTTGGATTTAAACTGGGAAGAGTAAAAAAAAAAGGTCAAAACGGGAGAAAATGATCTTACTGTAGCAGACGCTTACCCCTCTTGTAGCTGTGCTCCACTACCTTCTTGTGGTCCGCCAACTCTGTTCTTTGGGAGGATTTCATGGCATTAGAGTTGCATCACATCCTATCACAAAACAAGCAGAAATTCTTTCATTCACACTGATGATGAAAATTGCAGTGATTAGGAAGCAAATCCATTATTAACTGGAGCTACAAAATTATTTTTGTATGTCTGCCATCAATATTGAAAGTAAAATGTCAATGCCTACCATGACCGAATCAAAAACATTTTGCAATCATCCTATTAAAGAAAAACTCCATTTGACCATGGTCCCAAACCAATTAAGTAAAAATACGGCAGCTTTTGGGGGCTATGTGAATAGTAAATGGCCAGTCAAAAAAAGTTTTTTTGGCATTAGAAATTTTTCAGCCAGAACAGTTGATCCTAATTTCAGTTTCACTGAGGCAGAGTAAGCTGGCATTATCAAAACACCTGAAACTTTGCCATTTTATTGATGGACACAACCATGTGCATTCATCCATGACCTTTCGCTACCTAAGGTCCTGAGGGAAAATGCCACAGACTTTTTCATAACAAAGCAATTTGTTTTCACTGCAAAAGGTCCCAAAGCTCCGGGATGTCACAGAAAGTTCCATCCGTTTTACAGTGATTGGTGCAGGGCTATCTGCAAGGTGCATGTACATGTAGGTACATTGTAAAACCTCAACCTTCTGGAATAAGAGTTACATGTACATGTACCAAAGCCCCCAAACAAGGATAGCCTGGTACAAGGTATGGAACCTTTTGTTGACACCTGATTCTCATAATTTCTCATGTCCAGTCCTTTATCCTACCCACAGTTCTGAATTTGAGAAACAGTGGCTTTTTCTCACGGGAGTTCGTTATTTCTCTGAACCGACATTACCGATGGATGGAATGTACATGTACAATGTACAAACATCATGATGGCTACAAACTAGACCAAACCCTCGCCACTGACCGGACGCACAAGCAAACACGAATGATGGAAGCAGATAAGCGTGGGCATGGCAATATCTGTAGCAAAAAGTGCTACACCATTGACTTGTGCACAAACTCATTGCTACACAGTGCTACAGGGTGGGAAGAGAAAAGACAAGGGTGGAAATCTGTAGCAAAAAGTGCTACACCATTGACTTGTGCACAAACTTACTGCTACACATTGCTACAATTAGCTGGGAAGGGAAAAGTCAGGGGTGGAAATCTGTTGCAAAAAGTGCTACACCATTGACTTGTGCACAATTTTACTGCTACACATTGCTACCATGGCTACAATTACATGTAGCTGGGAAGGGAAAAGTCAGGGGTGGAAATCTGTAGCAAAAAGTGCTACACTACTGACTTGTGCACAAACTCACAGGGAAATTCTAAAGTCATTAATGCGCATGCGTGGGGTTTGTAGCAGGTAGCAATGCTACAGACTACCAGCCCTGATTTCTTTCATCCCATTTCATGCATCAATTGACAAACGGGCAAACCCGTTATATAAAACAGGCATGACTTTGTCACTCAAATTTCAACACTCAAATATCGTTTCAGATAGATATAGGCTAGTTGAATTTGATATGTACATGTTCATGTAGGATCCGAATCAACATTTTGTATAGGCCAAAAAAACTTTGCATAAATGCTTGAATAACTTGTTGACGCTTGTTCACGCTAAACATGCTAAATAGCCATGATAGCATGACCCATCTTTTCCTTTGGTTTTCCTGACCCCATCCAACATGTCCAACATGTCCAAAGGAAAGCTGAGCTATGATGATTGGTCATTAGAATGGAAACAATTGGACTACTACTCCCTGACTAGCATTTTGTGAGAGTTCCGGATGTCCGTGATGCCCAATTAATAACTAGGTACATGTATGCTAGGGAGGCCTCACTTCACACATCTGAGGGAAATAAAGCTAATGGTGATGCATGGCATGTGCTGATATTTTGCGTGTACTGTGTGGACCCTATGTACGACTGTAGGTCAACTCGCCCCCTGGCCGGCTCGCCCCTTACCAGCTCGCCCCTTACCAACTCGCCCCCTGACCGACTCGCCCCCTAGCCAAGTCGCCCCCCTAAGTTTGCCAAGCACATATGACCGGCCCATTCACCATTTAAAAAAAATACAATCTGTCAGAGATGCAATCGGTACTTGCTGCCCTTAAAAATAGGTTCTGGGGTTTGCAGCGGGCACTCAAAGTTGAGTTTGTTTAAAGCTTGGTGGATATTCCCTTTGTGTGGAATTTGGGGGTAACAATATTTTTTCTTGATATTGGTAAAACTAATTCAGTATTATCGTGTGCATGGGCCATGGCGCAGCATTTCTTGTGTATTGTCTATGGGATTTCGTGCACCACAACACCAACACTCTACTATATTAATTAACTTTGCGGACTGTTTCGGATAAAAAAAATGGTACATACATGCATTAGGCATAATGTCCGGCGACGCAAACCTACGGAAGTGTTAAGGAGACATGATTTATGACAAAGGGTGTAACGGTCACTACACACTTTCAGGTTCCGATAACTTCACAGGATGCAATTATTAGTTCACAATTAACACTAAATACTGATTTATTCGGAGAGTACAGTGATCAAGGATCACATTGTTGACCGGCCATATGAATTATATCCCAGCATGCACTGTCGGTGTCATGACGTCATGGAAAAATAGTCATGCCATCTGGTGCCCGTTACTTGTAAACAAATTAAGAGCACTCTCAAAGATATTCAATTCCAAAAAAGGAATAAAAATTACGCAAATAAAAAAATTAATAATGGGGCGTTAAAATTTGACATTAGTGTACAATGTACATGTACCACTATGACTTTATACATCACACACAAAAAAAGCGTACATGTACATCCAAGAACCTAAATCAGTTTTCGCCGTATATGTGAGGTCACAGTCGAGTGCATGAGCAACAGAACACCATAACTAACTAACGACAAGCACATGTAACTGGATATCGGGTCACTACAAGAAGATACAGTCACATACCCAAATATTAATCGGACGGATCGAGGGTTCGAAGTTGTTGATCCTGAGGGTATGTTGTACATGTTTGAATAAATAAGTGATCAGTAGTGATGTCCAAATATCCATCACTGTCCGGGAGTCATTCGTGTAGCGGGGTCGTTGGTTAGAATCATTGTTTTTTTTTTAATACATTGGGCCGGCCATATTTGCTTCACGTTCCTAGGGCTAGTAGGGGGGCAAGTCAGTCAGGGGGCGAGTCGGTCAGGGGGCGAGTCAGTCAGGGGGCGTGTCAGCCAGGAGGCGAGTTGGTAAGAGGCGAGTCGGTCAGGGGCGAGTTTACGAGGGGGCGAGTTGGGAAGGGGCGAGTCAGTAAGGGGCGAGTTGGTCAGGGTCAGGGGCGATTTGACCTGACACTGTAACGGGATGGACATGACTGTAGACAAAGACTACAGGACGAAGACTAGGCTGACATGACTTGACTGGAGACTAACGCAGGTACA